AAAATTCACACTCAACTGGGGAAAGGGTTCGAAGCCTGGGAATATCTCATTGTGGAAATACATTACATCCTTTCTCCTCTACTCCATTAGTTGGAATGAACTCAGATACAGGACAGTCCATGTAATCTCAGAAGACAGAAAGGAACCAAAAAATCAAACGTAGTGTCCACACCACTCAGGCTGAGCTTCCGTGCTCTTCTGCACAGCTCTCCATGCCAGCTGCTGTTCTCTCAGACTACAAAAAAGTGGATAAGAAACGAAATTCCTGGCTCTAGAAGAGAAAACATGGTTCATGAAAACCTGTACATGAGTGTTTATAAAAGCATTATTCTAATGGCCCCAAAGTGGAAACAACTGAATGTTCATCAATTGATGAATGAGTGAATACAGTGTGGCATAACCATATAATGAAATATATTAGTTTGGCAAAAATAATGAAGTACTAATACTTGCTGCAACATGGATGAATATTGAAAACATTATGCTAGGTGAAAGAAGCCAAAAAGAAAGACCACTTATTGTATGTTTTCATTTACATAAAATGTCCAGAATAGTAAAATCCATAGAGACAGAAAGAAGGTTAGTGGTTGCCTAGGGCAGGCGGCAGTTGAGGAGAAATGGAGACTAATGGATATGGGCTTTCTTTTTGGAATAATAAAAATGTTCTTTATGGCTCACACCTGTAATCCCAGCACTTTGGGAGGCTGAGGCAGGTGGATTGCCTGAGCTCAACAATTTGAGACCAGCTTGGGCAACACGGGGAAACCCCGTCTCCACTAAAATACAAAATATTAGCCAGGCGTGGTGGCATGTGCCTATAGTCCCAGCTACTTGGGTGGCTGAGGCAAGAGAATTGCTTGAACCTGGGAGGAAGAGGTTGCAGTGAACCGAGATCGCACCACTGCACTCCAGCCTGGGCGACAGAGACTCCATCTCAAAAAAAAAAAAAAAAAAAAAAAAAATTCTTCACAACAGTGAAAATATGAAATCAACCCAGGTGTTCATCAACAGATGATTGGATAAAGAAAATGTGGTACATATACACAATGGAATCTTACACCATAAAAATGAATGAGATCCTGTCATTTGCAGCAACATCAACGGAATTGGAGGTCATTACGGTAAGTGAAATAAGCCACGTGTTCTCACTCATATGGGGGAGATAAAAAAAAAAGTGGGTCTAATGATAGTAGAGAGTAGATTGGTGGGAACCAGAGGCTGGGGAAGGGTAATGGGGAGGGGGAATGAAGAGAAGTTGATTAATGGGTACAAGTATATGGTTTAATACACTAAATAAGACCTAGTGTTAGACAGATCAGTAGGGTAACTATAGTTTACAATAATGTATTGTACACTTTGAAATAGAGTAGAATAATTCGAATGGTTCTATCAAAGAAAAAGACAAGTACTTAAGATGATGGATATCCCAAACACACATATTTAATCTTTGTAAATTATATGTATGTATTAAATTACCACATGTACCCTGGTACTATGTACATCTATTATGCATAAATAAAAATGTTCTAAAATGTACTGTGGGAATGGTTACACAACTCTATAAATATACTAAAAATGATGAAATGATGCATTTGAAGTGGGTTAATTTTATGGTATGTGTATTATATCTCAATAAAGCTATGGGGGAGGGGAGAAAAATGGTCTTGGAGATGGTGGGGTGGAGGGAAACAACCAAAAATTTATCACAATATAGAAGAAACAGTAACATATCTAGGCAGAGTCAACTAACATGAGAAGGTGAAAAAAAATACAGGATGTATACAGCAAGTGTGGAGATACTACAGGCAAAAAGGGAAAATACCATATAGTAGAAGAAAAAACAACTCAATCTGGTAGAAATCATAACTCAGGTAATTCTTCACTATCTGTTTATGTATGGAGAACTTAATGAGAATATTAATTTAATAAGAGAGATAAAAGACAAAATTATAAAAAAGAATGAGATCACAAGGGATATTGCAAGTCTAAGGTAACAAATCAAGGCTCAAAGCAACATCTTTATGGAACTAATTAAATTTTTTTAAACAGTTAAGGAACAGAATAAATATCATTGAAAGCTGAATTTCAAGACTATACTCTCTCCCTAATCTGAAATTCAAAAAAATACAAAAAATTATGAAAAGTGAGAGTATTTTTTTTTGTAACCCCACTTGGCAGCATAATTTCATAATGTGTCCTGAACAGATGTGAGGCTATTTATAATCTTCCTTTATGCAAGTTGAGTATCTATATTTATAGTTTTATTTGAAAAAATAAAACATTAATGCTTTTGAATACTGGGTGCTTCCCAGACTCTACTGGGAGTATCATACACTATATGGGATATGCATTTGTTATTTTCTAAAATATGAAATCATTTCAAATTCCAAAACATATATGGCTTCAAAGGTTTCAGAAAGAGATGGCAAACCAGTAATAAAATAGGGGAAATGATTTGTAAATAAAAGAAACAAAGAGATTAAATTAATTAGAAACCCTAAAAGAATGGAAAAAAGAAAAAAAAAGATCTAATATGAGGAAAATTGATGCGTTTGAAATGAGACAAACAAAAGCAATAGAAGTATATTTAAAGAACTAATAAAAAAAAATTTCTGAAGTGAAGAAGAAAGTGTTCAAAAAACACACTGGACCGGGTGCGTAATCCCAGCACTTTGTGAGGCTGAGGTGGTGAGGCTCATGAGGTCAGGAGATTAAGACCATCCTGGCTAACATGGTGAAATCCCGTCTCTAATAAAAATACAAAAAATTAGCCAGACATGGTGGTGCGCACCTGTAGTTCCAGCTACTGGGGAGGCCGAGGCAGGAGAATCGCTTGAACTCGGGAGGCGGAGGTGGTAGTGGGGGGAGATTGCACCACTGCACTCCAGCCTGGGTGACAGAGCATCACAAAAAAAACAAAAACAAAGATAAAAAAAAAACCACTGCAATACAGGAAAAATTCATGTGAAATATCAATACCAAATTGTTATGAACTTCAAAGATAAAATTATTTAGGCACCCAGGCAAAAAAGTAACTTACTTACAAAGGGAAGAGGATGAAGTTGGCCTCTTACTTCACCACAGCAATATTCAGTGACAGAAAATGCTAGAGTTCTATCTTCAAACTTCTAAAGGGAAGAAAATATGGTCTAAGAACACTAAATTTAGTCAAATATCAGTATGAATTAAATCAGGAAATATAACAGTCGTTAGTCCTTCTTAAAATGTATTGCTTGACAGTCAAACAAACTAGTAGCTTAGGCTCAATACAGACTCAAGAATAGAGAAATTATGTTAAAAGGAATAGTGGTGGGCATTGAATCCATGTGAGGTTACCCCTCCTAGTTTACTTATAAAGCTTAAGAAAGGCTACATTTAATCAACATTGCTTTCACCCTCCTGAACAATCCATAGATCTTGGAATGACTTAATTCTGGTGTCATCTCCCCATCTTTCATATTGTTGTTGTCCGTATCCTTAGTTTTGTTCTTAAAAGAACATTCCCTCTGAAATACTCATTAATTTTCTTTTACAGTCGGTGCTTAGCGATTTTGCCAAAACGTTTTTCAATTTCTTTGCTCATCATTGCATATTGCATTCCATTAATTGTCTTTCCTCCTTCCTTAAATATATCCTTTTGTCATTATTTTGGTGAGGTAGTTACATTTCAGTTTTCTTTTGTTTGGAGATATCTGTATTTTGCCTTCACCTTTGAATAATAATTTCACTACGGACAAAATTCTCAATGGTTAGTTATGGTCCCCCAGCACTTTGAAGATACTATTTCATTATCATCTGTTTTCTGTGGATCCTTTTGAGAAGGCAGCTGCCAGATGTACTTCTGTTTATTTGCAGGTAATTGACCTTTTCCTCTCTGGTTGCTTTAAGGTCTTTTATTTAACAATGATGCTTCTGGATTTGAAATTTTCCTTCCTCACACTCCCCACCCCCCACCTGCCTTGTTTCCTTTCTTTTCCTTTCTGTTCTTTTTGTTTTCTCTTCTTTCTCTCCTGTCTTTTCTTCTTCTTTTCTTTTCCACATTTTTTTGGCACTTCTCTTTCTCATATATTCTTCTAGATAAACTTTAGGATATTTACCCTTCCAAAAAATCTAAAGAGAATTTAAAATTTGACTGGAATTTCACTTGACCATTAATTAATTTGGGACAAATTTGTAACTTTAGTATGTTTAATATTCCTATTTAGAAACGTGCTATTTCTATCCATTTAAAAATGTCTGCCTATGAATTGCATGTTTATTTATCAAATCGTGTTGTATAATTCTTCTTAAATGAACTTACAGGTTTGCCAGATTTTTGTTTCTGTTTTGAAGAGACGATTTCAATTTTAAATTCCACATTTTCTATTTGGTCATTGCTGCATTAAAGAAACCTATTGACTTTTGTATTTTCTTGTGTCTGGATAGGTTTGATTCTACATAGTTTGCAGGGAAGTAGCATAAAGGTCAAAACACAAAAGGGGGTGCAAACAGCATCCCCAGAGATTAAAAAAAGTGGCAAAATCTGTGTTTAAGGGCAAGAAAAGTACTTTTATTTTCAAGTAGACAGAGAAAGAAAAGTAATAATTAAACATGACTAAGGTAAAGATTAGATTTGACTATAGAAATTTCTGGTTGCAAAGGTTGAACTAAACTCAAATGGGGAAATAATTACACAGAAAGATTGGTTCTATTCAAATTAGGAGAGTTTGAATTATATGCATCAAGTAATACCTCAAGTTACTGAGAAATTCCAATGCAGAGATAGTAGAAATAATTTTTTTAGACATGAATGGAATATTCCTAACTTATAAAATCAATATTAATATCATAGAAAGCATCAGGTCAACATAAAAATCTGAGGATAAAGTAAAAGAAGTGGTCAATTTATAATTTAGAACTACTTAGAAGAGCTTAAGAGGCTGCCTTTGTCAAAACACATCATGCCAGATCAATTTAATTCTCTTTTATGGCAGAATGACAGTCCACAAAGATACGAAGCCTTTGAGAAACATAATATATTTTAATTTCAGTAAAAGTTTTTGTGTTGTTGTATATGACATGTTATTTATAAGCTAACGAAGTATGGTATGGTGTACTGTTTGCAGTAGTTAATTATTGTTCACCAGTTTCCGACTGGGAGCTCATATCAACAGGCCATCACAGGAATTCCTGGTGGAGTTCTTTGGAGTCAATAACGTGATTGAAAACCTAAACAAAAGATTTGAGATATTATCAGTGAAATATGTAGATATTACAAACTACATACCAGTATTAGTGTCTGGGGCTAAACTTCAAAACAATCTTGAAATATTAGAAAAATTCTAAAAAATTAATCAATATTAATAGCAAGAATTATAAGATGTGAGGAATACTTTGCGAACATCTTGGGAGTAAAATAGTTGCATAGTATAGAAAGACGGCACAATGGGAATTAAAGAAACAATTTCAGTTATTTTGTGGGGCAGAAGTTGAGTAGGAGTGTAAGTGTTAAGAAGACCACAGACCAAAATGTGGTAGAATAAAAAGTATTTGTTAAAAGAGATTGAGAAAGAAATATGAAAGGAAGATGGAAAGGAAGGAAGGCAGAAAGAAGGAAGAAAAGAAAACATAGAATTTGTTTGTAAATATATGGCATATAAGCTCTAAGAAAGTCCCTCTTCTGCTCAATACTAGTCACGCTTCTCAATGCATTTTAAAAGGATATGAAGAAATGGAAGTGAATTTGAATAAGAGCAACAAGGTGATGGAAGGGCTTGATATATATCCTAGGCCAAAAGGTTAAGAATTTAGTATTGTTTGGATCAGAAAAGGAATAGGAAAGGGATGATTTGATTATCATTTTCAAGTATCTAAAGGACTTTTCTGAAAGATAACCTCCGTTGGTGATTTCTGTGGTCTACAGAGGATGAACAAAAGCACAAAAGGAGCTTAAGTTTAAAGCAGAAAAGATCAGGTTTGGATATAAGTTGTGGGTCTCTGCCATCAGGGAAATGAAAATTTGAAATGATTTCTAAAGGAAACTTCAAGCCAAGCAGCAGCATAAGTCTCCATGTTAGATGTAACGTTGGGCGTGGAAACAAGTTTGGGAAAGACAGCCTATGCCAGGGGTCAGCAAGCTCTGGCCCACAGGCCAAATCCAGCCCTCCCCCTGACTATGTGGATGGTCGATGTGCGAAAAGTGACTTTTACAATTTGTAAAAATTTCATGATACAAGAAAATTATATGAAATGTGACTTCAGTGTCCATCAGTAAAATATTATTGGAACACAACTATGCCCATTCATTGACATTATTGTTTGTGGCAATGTTGGCACTTTACAATGGCAGAGTTCAGGAGTTGAGAGTGGGACCATACAGTCCACAGAGCCTCAAATGATTACTATTTGGCGTCTTGTGGGAAGAGTTTCCCAATCCCTGACCTATATGTTTGCAGCCACTTACACAATGCCTGGTCTTGACCTCCAAAGTCTAGAAGCTCTCCTTGTTGTAATAGAAATGAACACCTCTGGGGTCAGCTGATGAATACAAGCGGCACATCTTTTGAAGGGTCCTTGAGAGAGCTTTAGGTCCACAAAAGAACACGCCAATGCTGCTGCTGCAGTAGGGGTAAGAAAAGGAAAGAAAATGTCACCTGGAGGCAAGGCCAGCCAGAAGCCAAGACAATAAGATTAGTGAAGTGGTTGTGACTATGAGGTTACTTATTTATTTTTCTCCCTTTCTCCCTCCATGTCTTTTTTTCTTAGATTCTTTTTTTCTACCTACTTTCAGCACCATGCTCTCTCCCAAGTTCTCAGTATCCTCCCCTGAACTAATCAGGGAGGTGGAACCAAGAAGACTGAGGCATGAAAGCGGCCATGAGACTGTTGAGGGGTTTTGATACAGAGGGATTTTGATACACCAGGCTTTTTGGCCAGGTGACCTTGATTCATGTCTCCTTGGATACGTGACCAGATGTAAACTTCCTGAGAACATAAACCTGATCTGTTTTATTCCAGCACCTGGAACAGTGCATACAGTGCAATCAACACACATTTGCTGAATGAGTGGCTAAATGGCTTTGCTGAGTAGTATCTGCGTGGTCTTGGGCAAGTCACTATACCTCAGTTTCTGCATCTGTAAAAGATGATAAGGACTACTTTGTATGTTTTATCAAAAGCAAGATGAGATAATACATTCAAAAGGGTTTTGAAAAGGTTAGTTATTACTAATATCTTGTTCAGCCCTGCCTTTTTATAGATAATAAAATTTATGCTACAGTAATAGCAATTTAATTAATTTCTCCTGTTGGAATTATTTTAATTTTCAAAGAAGGCCAGAAGGGAGAGCTGAAAAAGAAAAAGACATTGCTGATAACACAGTCACCCAAACATTGTCATCTCTAATCTTGACATTGCTGAGAATACAGTCACCCAAACACTGTCATCTCTAATGTTGACATTGCTGATAATACAGTCACCCAAACACTGTCATCTCTAATCTTGACATTGCTGATAATACAGTCACCGAAACACTGTCATCTCTAATCTTGACATTGCTGATAAGACAGTCACCCAAACATTGTTGTCTCTAATCTTGACATTACTGATAACAGTCACCCAAATATTGTTGTCTCTAATCTTGACATTGCTGATAAGACAGTCACCCAAATATTGTCATCTCTAATCTTGACATTGCTGATAAGACAGTCACCCAAACACTGTCATCTCTAATCTACATCTGAAACACCCAACATGTCATCTCTAATCTTGACATTGCTGATAAGACAGTCACCCAAACACTGTCATCTCTAATCTTGACATTGCTGATAATACAGTCACCCAAACATTGTCATCTCTAATCTTGACATTGCTGATAATACAGTCACCCAAACACCGTCATCTCTAATCTTGACATTGCTGATAAGACAGTCACCCAAACATTGTTGTCTCTAATCTTGACATTGCTGATAACAGTCACCCAAATATTGTCATCTCTAATCTTGACATTGCTGATAAGACAGTCACCTAAATATTGTCATCTCTAATTGTGACATTGCTGAGAATACAGTCACCCAAACACTGTCATTTCTAATCGTGACATTGCTGATAATACAATCACCCAAACATTGTCACCTCTAATCTTGACATTTCAGAAAACTGTGTCAAAGAGATACTTCCTGCATATAGTGACTATCCCAGAGCTGCTCAAATGCCTTGCGACTTAGTTTATATGTAAACACCACATTCATGCTGGGGTTCAAAGTTGTTTTTGGAAGTTGGGGTGCATCAGTCTCTCTATAGAGATTTTCAGAGACTGTGTCTTTTTTCTCTTGTGTTGAATATTACTATTCTTTGTAGCATTTTTTCCAACCTCTAGCATAAGCTGAATTGGTTACTCTAGTGTGGATCAAAACTTCTCAAGCTTTGCTGTGCATAAAATCATCTAGGCAGATTGTTAAAATGTAGATTCCTAGGCTTGAAGTCAAGGAATGCATGTTTAGTAAGGATCTCGGGTGATGTTGAGGCAGATCGCCCTGTGAGCCACACTTTGAGAAACACTGTCATCAAGACATTCTTTGGGCTTCAGGACCAGCTCACTATACCATCTCTGTTTCTTCAGACATAGATCTTGCTGAAAGTGTCTATATAGCCTATTTTTTCTTAGCTTATATGTTAACATGATTCTCTACCATGTATCATAGCCACATTTTAATTGTGTGTTCCAGGACCATCACATCCACAGTAGAAATTGATGGTTCCACTGCATTTCAAACTCCAGCTTCAAAGGAATTTATCAATGGCTTAATTTACAAATGACAATGTGTTTAAAATGTAGCAGTACTGCTTTCAAAGAAACCATTCCCATGGCTAAATTTGAGAAAGTAATTTTTCAGAAAATATTTCCCACAGAAAAGTATGAGTTTATGGCTTAATGAAGAGATTTTGAGGTGTTTATGGAAATGAAAGGCAATGGTTAAGGGTGCTCTTGGCTCCACCACTTCGTTGCTGGGTAACTTTGGGCATGTTAATTACCTTCAGAAAGCCCCCAGTTTCTCATCTATAAAATGGGGAGAATTATAGAATCTACCTCCTAGAATCTCTGTGAGGATTAAACAAGACATTGCAGGTCTGGCTGCTGGTCCTGTGTCTGGCACACGGTGCGCTCTCAGGAACTGCTAGCTTCCTAATGTTATTTTCCCATGTGATGACTATTGGTGTCTGCCTGTTCCGTGAAGCTGAACAGAAGATGTGGTGCGGGGTGTTAACACAGAGGTGAGTATGTGGACTTACTGAGATCAGCACTAGATTTTTGAGCTCTGGACTGAAACATTTTGAATGGTAGATGGGTCAGGTGAGACCCTTCCCAGTGAGGAGTCACAGCTTTGCTTTGTGTCTGATGCCCAGAGGTATCCTTGCATCTATTTTCAAAGATGCTGTTATGGGTGGTGATATTTTTCCATTAGTGTAGATGTCACCAAAGAGATTGCCCACTGGCCCACTCCAACAGGCTAAGACTGCCCTTTCGTTTGCAGCGACAGTAACTGCAAACCTGATGGTGCCCTTTGATGCTCTGCCTTTAAGACTCCATTTCAAAGGATTCTGATTGCTGCTGCCCGGTGTTCTACTGGTGTCCCCAGCAGTTCACAGCTCCCCTGCCTCTTTTGAAGTTGTGGCTATCACACTGCACAGCTAAGTCCACACTTTACTCAGGGGCCATAACCGCCATGGTGATGCAATCACCAAAAAGTTTCACAAAGGCTGTTTATTATCTACTTTCTGCTAAGGTGGAAAGGTCAGCCCTTCACTGGCTCTCTGTGAATCACTGTTCCCACATACAGCATTCTTCTGCTTGCTTGGCTTACTCTTCTCGGCATTTATGACTCCAAGTATGGAGAATTTCTTGTCACAAATGCATACTGTGAATCACAAGGCAGAGAATCCACGCAAAGTAGTTAAGGGACAGATGTGGCATCTTTCCTTTTTTTTCTTTTATGAGGCAACGGACAAGTGCAACAGAACCCTAATGGGGTTGGTAAAGAAAAAATTCTTCTATAAAATTTAATTACCCACAATCGCTTGGAATTAAAAAGAGATTCTCTGCAAAAGAAGCATAAAAACACAAGGTGCTATTCTTCAGTTTACAGTCTGCATGAGCTTGCACACGCATGGGGGAGCTGGATCGGGGGCAACGTTAACGGCATTGCTCAGTCTGGGCTGCTGACTTTGATGAGAAAAGGACAAATTTTACACAAGCTGCAAAGATGGCTAACATTCACGGCATTATTTTTAGCTCTGATAAACAATAAAGAAAATTCTCCTTTCCCTCTCTATGTCTGCTAAATAACTGTTGTGCTCTTCTCTGTGGGGTTGGTGCATTTTTCAAAAAACAGTTCAGTGATGCCATGCATGAAAGGCATCCAAAATATCACCCATCAGGAGATTTCAGCCCCGCAGATAAATGGGCTTGTGGGTGCGCCCAGGAGTAATCCTACCACCTTGCTGAATTCCCAGGTTCTGCTGCCGTGAGCCCTTCTCTCCTTAAATTGTATGTTTGTTTTTATGTGTTGGCTTTTATGCTTGGTAAATTATAACCCTGTAGGGGCAGACCCTAAACCCCATTTTAAAAAAATCAAATTACTTTATACCCTGAGTGCATTCTGCAAATAAAATCAATAAACAGAAGCTTCCCGTGGATTTATGGAGGCTTAGAAAGAAGATGAGAGCGACAAACTCTGTATCAGACAATGGACACAACTTCTGGTTAATCCTTTCTAGTGAGTGTTTTTCATTAGAAATGCCTCCAAATGATTCATCACATAATTATATTTTGTACAACACCTTCTTTTTTCAGAACCACAGATGATAATTGTGCTGGCCAGCTTTTTTTTTTTTTTTTTTTAACCTATCTCCCAGTTAATTTGTAGCAGCCTACGACATTACTTTTCTCTGTGTCCTAATTACTCAGTTGCTCATGAGTTGCTGCAGATGTCCCTAACCAGGCTCACTGTGGTGATTCTCCTCCTGCCCACACTCCACAGGCTCTGTTTTCTTTGGCAGCCAGAACTGTGCTGTTCGGACTCTTGTCCCAGCTCCCTCATTGGTCTCATGGTGCTGCCACTTGCACATACTGGCCATTTTGCTGGGCTCTGAGGTGCATAGATAAAGTTGCTTGTAGCTGTAAGCCCTTGAGAAGCTTATGGTCAAATGGGGAAGAAAAATGAAAGCAGCTGACTTGTAGCATCCGATCCCAGGGAATGGTAGAGCCATTGTGCCAACTTTCCCCCACCCCAATAAAACACTAACATATATATGCTTTCGTGCATAAGTAACCAAATATTTTGCCAAACTAATAATTTGATAGATAGGTAGTACCATCGAAGAAAGTTTGCAGCATAATGATAAATCCATCCTGCACTCACCCATCTCTCCAATTCCCCTTACCACAAATGGAGTAATTTCAGCAATTTTCATTGAGTCTTCAGTTGGCTCTAACCAGAGAGATTGATGCCCTCTGGTGGGAAGGAACTATGGGAATATGCTGACAATTTCCTCATCATAAGTTTATGGTGTCTTTATTTTTCCCATGAAGCTATAATTTATCATGTGTTGTATTTCC